CAGACACACACACACACACACACACACACACACACACACGCACGCACGCACGCACGCACGCACGCACACACACACACACACGCACACTCACACACACACTCACACACACGAATGTACACATGCACACACACACACACACACGCACGCACACACACACACGAATGTACACATGCACACACATGCACACTCACACACGAATGTACACATGCACACACATGCACACTCACACACACACACACACACGAATACACACATGCACACACACACACACACACACACACACACGCATGTACACACGCACACACACACACACACACACACATGCAAATGCACACACGCACACACACACACACACACGCACACTCACACACACGAATGTACACATGCACACACATGCACACTCACACACGAATGTACACATGCACACACATGCACACTCACACACGAATGTACACATGCACACACACACACACACACACTCACACACACACACACACGAATGTACACATGCACACACACACACACATGCACACTCACACACACGAATGTACACATGCACACACACACACACACACACACTCACACACACAATGTACACATGCACACACATGTTCTTCTGAGATTTGTCCAGGTTCAACCAACACAAACCCAAAGCACCAGCTTTGTTCCTGAACCCTGAATTCCTAGTGTTGTTGCTGAGGCGAGGGCTCATGCATTAGAGTCATCATGTAGCTGCTGGAGACCTTGAACTCTTGTCTTCCAGAGTGCTTTATGCCTGGCTGGTCTAAGCATTTCCAAAGTTTCAAGAATGCTGTAAATTTTGTCACTTCAGGTCTGATTTTTCCTTCTAAATGTCTTTCATTTATAAGCTGACATTATATTCTAAACACACCCAGAATTTGGGTCATTTTGGCTCACAGTGTGAGAAGGTACAGCCCCTGGTGGTGTGGGCGAGTAGCTAAGGTCAACGCCACCAGCTGGGGACCAAGTGTTAAAACATATGAGCCCATGGGATACATGTTCATATTCAAACTGTAATGTCTCCCCTGGTCTCCAAAGGCTAATGGTCATCTCTTAAAGAAAAATACATTCAACTCAACTTTTAAGATCCTTGCAGTATTTTTTTTCTTTCCCCCATTCCCCAAGACAGGGTTTCCCTACATAGCCTTGGCTGACCTGAGACCTACTATATAAGCCAGGATGGACCTTGAACTTGCAGTGGTCCTCCTGCCTCTATTGAAATTACAGGCATGTGCCACTACTCATTGGTAAAAGTCCCTGAAGTACTAACTCTAACACTGTTCAAAATCCAAAGTCTGTTCTGAAACCTAAAATAATCTTTTTCCTTAGTGTGAGCCACTGTTAAATGATATACTTCCAACACATAATGGTGTGGTGTAAACATTCTCAATCTAAGATGGGGGATGGGGACATAGCAGGGAGAGATTTGACAAAGCAAGACCAAGACTTTGCAGGGCAAATTAGAAACCTCTACCTCTTGAACTTGGTGGCATCATATGGGTCCTAAGAGCTTAGGGAGAGCCCTCACCCCGCTGTTCTATGGCCTGAAGTACACGTGCTTCTATCTCTCGAGCTAGCTCCATTTGGTGCATGTAGCTTCCCTTAGCATCTCCTGGTATCTCCACTGAAACTAGCCCTCATGGCACAGCTTCATAGATTGGCACTGCAGGGCCATTCCTGCTACACACTACCCAGCTGCTCTGTGGAACCAAGACACAATCTCCATTATCCTATCATTCCTGCAACCTGCATACCTGCAAAACCAGCACCATGTGGATGACGACAGGCTTTCCTGAGAGTTTGAGATGGTGCCTGGCCTACTTGAGCCATAATTGCAGTGGCCTTTAAGGACCTGTGCAACAAGCTGGGTGGTGGTAGCACACGCCTTTAATCCCAGCATTCAGGAGGCAGAGGCAGGTGGATTTCTGTGAATTCGAGGCCAGCCTGATCTACAAAGCTACACAGAGAAATCCTGTCTCAAAAAACCAAAACCAACCAACCAACCCATGCAACTGAAGGAGGTAACAGATTTCTCTCAGTGGCCATGCTGGAGCAGGGCATTTTGGGGACTGTCTTCTCAGGCACTATTTCTAAACACGCATTTAAAAAATGGATTTATATTAGAATACTCTCATACTTTCCACTAATGAAGCCTTGTTCCCAAGACACCGTTTCCATTGTCCTAGTGCAAAGTCTCTTTAGGAAATACAACTTTGCCCTCAGTTGCCTTATCTGCTACTGGGTTCATGCTCCTTTTGAACAAAACAGCACATTTTCCACAGAATCATTCTGCTTCTTCTGCGCCAATCTGGCTAAAAGGGTCGAGCAAAAACCATGCCACACCCTGAATGCTATGCTGCTTTGAAATTTCCCCAGAAAACAATTTAGCCATTCACTCCTGTTCAGCTTAACCAATCCAGGACATAGTGGCAATGTGGTCATGTTCTTCTCTAGCATGTCACATCAATGGCCCCTGGATCAGTCCTGGCTAAGAGTCTTTGCTCCCCCCTAAAGCCTGGAGCCTGGCTGATCTTTTCCTGTTCACCTTTTTTATTTGTATACTGGTTTTAAGTGTTTCCACCATGGCCCATGTGGCTCTGCTTACAGTATTCTACCCTGAAGCTCCAACCCTGTTTACATTCCTCCTGTAAACAAGTCCCAAAGTCACTTCTTGATGCCAACTTTCTGTATTTATAACTTACACATTGTTGTGACCAAAGCACACCTACAGAAACAACTCAAGGGAAGTAGTATGTATTGGGCTCACTATTAGGGCAGATTGTGGTATTAGAAGCGTGTGCTGGCGGGTGAGGGAGCAGAGGTCTCAGGTTAATATACCAGCACACACACCCTCAGTCCTGCCTCGAAGCTGCCTCCAGCAAGGCCCCACTACACACAGATTATACTATTTTCTAAAACATTACCATTACCCAGGGACCAAGCGTTCAAATACATAAGCCTGGGGAGGGGGAATTTCACATCCAAACCCAAACAGATACATTCATGACTATACAAGCATCAGCATTATCCACTTCCAGAACTTTTCTTTGTCATTCCAAATAGCAGCTTTGTAGCCACTAGATAATAACCTCCTGGGCTATCCCATCTCCTGGTAAAATGTCTACTCCAAAAGGACTGGGTCTATCTGGCTACATCAATACAATGTTTTTAAGGTCCATCTCTTATGGTATAATGTGTCAGAACTTAATTTTTTATGGATACAGTTCCCTTGTAGGCATATATCATGTACATCCAAGCTCCATTCAGCTGTCACCTTTTAGGCACTATGAATGCTCCTACTGTGGACATTGTATACCTAAGTATCTGAGTCCCTGCTCCAAGAATTGCATAGTAACGATGTTTAACTCTTTCCAAAAGTACTGTTCTCCACAGTGGTTCCAGCAGCGACTCACAGACTTCCAATTTTTCCAGACCACTGCCAACCTTTTAGTTATTTTCCTTTTTTCTTTTTTTCAAGGCAGGGTTTGCCTCAAACTTCTGGGCTGCATCTTATCTCAGAACCCTGAGAGCCTGGATTGGTACATGCCTCCATGCCTAGCTCTTTTTCTTTTTGGATAGCTGTCCTAACAGATGTGAAATGGTACCGTGGTTCACATTTTTTTCCCCACTACTAGAAATACTGTATCTCGGGCTGGAGAGATGGCTCAGAGGTTAAGAGCACCGACTGCTCTTCCAGAGGTCCTGAGTTCAATTCCCAGCAACCACATGGTGGCTCACAACCATCGTTATGAGATCTGGTGCCCTCTTCTGGTGTGCAGATATACATGGAAGCAGAATGTTGTATACATAATAAATAAAATCTTAAAAAAATAGTGTCTTCAAGGAGGTATACATGCTCTTATACTGGACTCTAGTGAGTTTCTTCATAGACGTCTAAATAAGTATTTCTTGACCATAGAGTAACTTTCATTCTCTGTCCTTTATGATGTCTGAAACCCACATCCTTTATATGGCTTCAGGGACAGCCCTGACTGGGTGGTGAGGAAATGAAGAAAAAGACTAACAGAGAAAAGCTTGGGCTAAGTGGACTGGGCTCTCTGATGGAGAAGTCTCCACACCCTGGAGGCTCAGCATGTTTATTACACAGTTGAACAGAGGCGGGGTCATTACATACAGATGAAGGAGGCATGGATCAGGAGAACAGGTTTAGGACAGTCTCTGTAGAGAAACCTTTTGAGGCCCTAAACCACCTGGGTGGGGGAGAAAGCTATGGTGGATGTTTTCTGTATACACTATCAGCGTCCACACTTGGATCAGAAGGAAGATTTTGCCTCCTCTCTGAGCCTCACACCACGGAAGAAGGAGCTCTGCCTTTTTCTATGGATCATGAAGGTTTAGGGTCCTTGACAAGGCTGTGTCTTGTCACCAGCTGGCTTTCACTCAGAGCTCCCTCCACTCCCCACACCTGCAGATAATTTGCCTCAGTTGAAGGCGTGGGTGCTACTGGCATCTAGTGGGTAGAGGATACTGCAAACATCTTACAGTATATGCAGGACGCACTGCAGCAAGGACCAGAATCCCAATGCTAACACTTCCAAGGTAGAGAAGCCTGAATTACAACTCTTGTAAACTTCATTTATCTTCATGAGGAGCCAGAGCAGCACATTGCGGCTTCTTAATGAGACTGACATACAATAACACTGCAGGAGTTAAGAAGATCATTTTGCAAGAGCCTCCATGTGATATCTAAAGCACACATATTTGAATGTATTACTAAATTCACTGGTAATGCCTTCTACCACCTAAATTACATTTGTGATAAAAATACCACCACTGATAATTAAAAACAAACGCCATGTTCAGGAAGGAAACAAGTCTAGACACCTAGCTGTCTATGAAGCTGAAAATATCTACTGGACGTCAAATTCTGCCAGTCTCCTCTGTGGCCAAACGTTCTTCTGCGGCACTCTGACACCACCCCCCCTCCCACTTCCAGTTAATAATTTAAGGAAATAAAGTCTTGTAAAAAGAGAAACTTTAATTATTTAAAGCAAAGGCACAAGTAAACATTTTAGGTTATCATACAGTGTTACAATAAAAATCCCACAGTACAATGAAATCCATTTATAACTGTGCATGTCCAATGCGTCACTGTCATCTCTTCTCTGAAGTGAAGAGGTGTGCAGACCCATGGGTGTGATGTAAAAATTTGGATTTTAAATAGCATCTACCCAAATTTTAACTAATTTCAGAATTAAAAAGAAATTAATTTTAAATTAATTTATAAACTTTTAACTCAATTAATAAACTTTCAGGCTAAAAACTCATTGCTTTAAAAGGAAATTACTGATTCTACAAATATTGGCCACCGATGTCTTGGTACTGTGTGGTAACCACGCTAGCCATGAAAAGCTTACCAAAACATAATTGATATCCTTAATTTTTAAAAACTTGAATATTATAGTGCATTATGAAAATGGTGGACGAGGAACCAAATGACTTCTTATGATGCCAGGGATGACACACTTCAAAAGCAACAGACACTATTTTCAATCAAAGGCACTGGCTGGAAAAGAATGAGCTACATTATGCTCAGGGCTGGGAAAGGCTTCTTTTTCTTCCAACATAAATGGCCAGTTAGCTGGGATATGATGTTTCAATCAATCAGCAAATGCCGAGTAGCTACCAATTGGCCAAACAAAATAAAAACAAACCAAAACAACAACAACAACAAAAATCCAAACAAGAACAAGAGTAGAAGTTGTATAAAACAATCTCTTTGGCCTCATTTCCCATAAAGAAATGTGTGCACTGACTTTGAGATGTCAGACTTAGGTGTGTGGCTCAGTAGCACAGAGTTTGCCCACCGTGTGTAAGGTCCTGGGTTCTAGCCCCAGTACTTGGGGGGGCTGGGGAGGGGGGTCTGTTGAAGTGCTTTCTTGATCCTATTGTCTTGGCTTTCAGCCTAGTCTTTCAGTGAGTCACCTGGAGTGGCAAGGGTACCAGAAAGGTCACTATCCCAGGAGAACAAGGTTTTCCATCATCTGTCATCTTACGCTTACTCCCACAAAACATCCTTCAACTCTTCAATGAAGTAAGATTCTTGAGCAGGACACAGTCCAATGCTTCAAGGTCTTCAAGAATATACTTATATCAATCTTAACAAAACAGAGTCAGATCAGGCACAGTATCCTACTGAACCCTAACACCCAGAAAGATTTACATCTAAGGTGCATGTAAATTAAAAACAATTTTTTTTGAGACAAAATTTTGCTATGTTAACCAGGCTGGTCCTGTTCTCAAATGACCTTCCTGCTCAAGCTTCCAGAGTAACTGGAACTGTAGGTAACCACTGCACCCGGCTTGACTCAAAGACCTTGAATGGATGTTGCCTCTAATTTTCCACTGTACAAATCACAAGAGCATCAATGAACCAGAAGTAGTCCTAGAAAATTCTCTGAGCTTGCTTGGGACTGAACACAGGGTCTAGCCCATTAGGTTTCTTGAAGAGGGGGGGTCTAGGTTAAAAAACAAAAACAAAAACAGGGCTACAAAGTCCTCGTACTTCACTGGGCTACTGGCAGCCTCTTGGACTAACTGTACTGGACCACAATGGAGAACCTTAAAGGGCTAGCAGCGCTGCCATCCACTCTTGCTAACTGAGACTTCACTGCTAAAGCTAAAGAACACCCAACTATCTCTACAGGAGATACAAAGAAAAGTGACTTAAATGGAAATTATTTAAGTAGCATTACCAGAAAACAGGGAGCTGAAAAACTCATTAGCTAGACCTTTAGAAGTCTAGAGAGAGAGAGAGAGAATGAGAGAGAGAGAGAGAGAGAGAGAGAGAGAGAGAGAGATTTAGCTCTGCTAAATAACTAGCTTGTAATTTACAGGTAAATTAAATACTAAAATTTAGTGGGTTCTCCAGACACAGAAGGCATGTTTCCAAGCTAGGACACCCTTACTGGGAAAGCCTAGCCCACAATGCATGCAGCATAAGGCGTTACATAGTTTTAGAAAGAAAATTACTTTTGTTTCTTCTACTCCATTTCATAAAATATTTTTCTTCATGTATGCAACATTCTGTGCAAAAATGGACTTCCATACATACTACATTCTCTCTTCCTCTATGGCTTAGGCTACTAACCAAAATGAGGTGGAAAACACCCAATCATCACAGACTGGCTTGGCAGCCTTTCCACGTGCGAGCATTGTTTCTCAACTTACAAATAACAAGCGTTCAGTTTTCTAGAGAAAAAGTCTAAATACAAAGCAACGACTAAAAAGAAAGGGCTCTTATGGCTTTACCTGTCGGTTAGAAACTAGAGATTTTAAATACAATACTCACAGATTTTTTTCCAGATATATCCTAGTGCTACAGCGTATTAAATAGATTAGCATTGAAATAGCGTGTGCTGTCACCTCTTTCATCGTGAAGGAAGCTTATTGGTCACAGGGCTTTACTAGTAGTGTCTGAACAGAGACCGATCGGTCATAAGTCTGCTAGTGTGGAGTGCTGAGTAAAGGTTACTGCAGCAGCTTCAACAGTAAGTAGTGTCTGGTCTGTGTTTAGTTTCCTTTTAACCTGCTATTACAGAAGTCCTATTGGAATGCTGAAAGCAGCCACTGTCAGTGTCTGCTCCTCGAGTAAAAGGGTGTCAATGCTGGGTGACAGATTTATAAATATGTACAGATAACACACCTGCAGTTAACCTGCTACTATTCTGACTAACACATCCAAGTATGATACACATAAAATTTAATAACTGAAACAAAAAAACTTTCTGAACAGACAACAATTACTTTGTTTAGAAATTAAACATGAAAAAAAAGTTGTTTGTGTTCAATCTTCAATGATCTACTAACAGAGCTGAAATTCTAGTGAAGGAAAATTATCCTCAAAACATGAGTAAAATCACCTCTGTGTTTTGGTCAAATGTCTAAAGAGACAGCCACCTTGGAAACACATTGATAAACATAAATGTACAGTTTGTTCAATGAGGATAAAATATTGCACAAGAACGGTTTTGTGTAAAGAAAATCCAATTTCCCATAGTCCTGAATTTTAAAATGGTTCTTATACTTAGACACAGCAATATTTTCTAAATAAGAAAAATTAATATTCTGTAATACTGTTAGAACCCCATTTACCAATTAGCATACTCCGGTCTGCTGTGGCAATGGAATTTCAATGAACATTTGGCAAAGACAGTCATATGAGGCTGTAAAAAACAGACACAGGACAGAGGGATGGCCCCCAGACTCTTTCCATGTGACCGCTACCCTAAGGTCTCCTGGCTGCCACAGTGATGGTCAGACGGTAGTTGAGTAGGACTCTCTTTGTGGGGGCTGTTCCTTTGCATCCTCACGGTCACTCTGTTGAGTTCCTAGTACACCATCTTCTGTTTCGCTCTCACTGCCGTCTGCCAAGGTGGGATGCAGGGACGTAGAGCCAGGTTTTCTGTGCAGAGGAAAAGCAATGCCACCTTCCTGTAAGGAGCTATCTATAAAATCTTCATCTGATGAGTGGAATGAGTCATCATCTCCTATCAAATGGCTGACAATGTGGATTCCATCAAAAGGTGGCTGGCTGGAAAAGTTCCTCTGGCCCTTTAGGCATCTGAGCTGTTGAAAACAAAATCCAGATTATTAGACATACTCAAACCCAGTCAAACACAAGTGTCCCATGAAAAAGAATATAATTTGTATTCAAAGAAGATGATGCCTTTATCTTTTTACTTACAGACATAAGGATTTTGAATCCATTCCAGCGGGACATAACTCATTCTAACTGACTCTGACAGACCTATGTACTAGATTTTTATTATTCTCATTCTACAGATTAAGACATGGAAACTTGAGAAGAACCTGCTGAGGTTTCACAGCTAATAGCAGAGTTTCAATTTCAACTAAAACTTTACTGTACTAAAGATAATATGAACTCTGTGTATAGATCACCTGATTCCCCCACACAGCATCGACAGTCTGGTTGCATTATAAATCACACCATTCTGTCCTTGGTTTACTCTGAGGTGAATCGCAGATGGCCTATCAGCTATATTTCTAGGAGGTATGAACTTAAAGATTTCACTCTTCACTATTACACACTATCTTGAAATCATGTTAACCGTAATTCTGCAAATGATAAAAAGTCTCAGAAATCATTCAATTTTGGGTTTGTGGAATGGTGATGTAGCTCAGTTGGCTGAGTGCTTCGCTAGCACACACAAAACTGTGTTCTAGCTCCACACCACATAAACCAGGCTTGGGGTGCACCTGGTAGTCACAGCACTGGGAGGTGGCGGCAGGGGGACCTGGAGGTTTTAATGTTATTCTCAACTACATAACAAATGCCCACTGTGTGCTTCATCTCTCCTTTCTCTCTGCTGCACCTTAGGAAGCGGGACACACACACACACACACACACACACACACACACACACACACACACACACCAAAGTTGCCACATACAAAGAAAAAACACACAAAAAAAACAA